TATACTTCAACTCCGAAGAAATACACCTAGGCCTTTATCGGCCCTATTGTGCGCTCCTTAACCAGTGCCTCAGGTGGGAATCGAACCCACCAGACTAGAACACTAACCACTAACCTATCGGAGGCCGCCGTAAGACCGTTTTACTTTATACAAATCGCATAATTTTGATTTAGTTACGCCTCTCAAAAGTTGCTTTCTTTCAAAATATTGTTTCTAAAAAACGGATTTTCTGAAGGGTAATGGTCAAATATGTACCGTTACTCAAGATTTTGGTGGTGTTTGGTAAATTTCAACAACAGATTATTGTTTTATGGCCGGTAATACTTCCAGAGGAAATGTTTGGCGATCAAGCGGAAAGACATTTTTAGAACAACTTCTTCCCGATAACTTAACACTGGAATACAGAAACAGAAAATTTGTGACAAATGTTTTCTTGCGATGAAGCATGTTCAAAATTGCACAAATCACTGTAATAAAATCTTATTTATTTATTTTGGAGCAGCCTAATTTTTCTACTTATACTACATAGTTGTGAGATTTGAAAATGTGTGAGTGTATGTTGATTTTACATTAAATTAAATTTGATTGATGATATTATTTTGGTATTCTGAGGTTTCTGTGGTTTGTTTCTCAGTTATATATTTAAGCAATAAAGTGTTTTTTTTGTTTTTGTAAAAATTTACATTTACAAACATCTAGTAATAATGGAAATTTAAATGTTAAGTATTAAATTTTAATAAAATTTTTTAAATATTTTTTCTCTTTACAAAATTTTGTTTAGAAATAAGGAATTTCATTTTCAATTTAAACGATTTTTTCCATAATCACCGATTTTAATAAAATTTTGTAATCACATAAACGACAGACTTGTACCATGAGAAATTAGTTTATTTTATTAAATTTAACTGTTAGACCGAGAATGTTTCAATCTTATTGGCTACTTCTTTAGTAATGGAAAGACATATTTAAAACATTTCACAAAACTTTATTTAGCGTAGCGAACTGCCATATACATATATGTATATGATTAGACAAATGGATTTTAAAACAATTTGTATAATTTAGGGATAAAACTTCCATACAAATAAATTTTCTTTAGGTCTTCTCCACTTAGTCACCTCCACAACGTAATAATGCATTCTTTTCATTTTCTTTTTATATAACAGTTTTACACTACTACTTTCACATACATATGTACGTGAAAGTTATTCTTACACCACTGAACTTGTCAATATTCATGTCGAGTTGTTAAAACAATACGTACGAAAAAAAAAGAAAAACTTTTTATTCACTTCAAACCCACAAGTGTCGTAAACACTTTATGCCAATAACTAGTGTATGTACTCGAAAGGTTTACACACGGGGAAAATGTCTACCTTCATTTTTCTATTTACCGTCAGACTGCCATAAGTAGAAAAATATCATTTTATGTTTAAAACTTCTTAAATAACGAAAATAATATAATTTTTTTTTCAATTAAATAAAACTAGGTATATAAAAGACTTTTAAGAGGCTGCGCTTATTTTGAGTACCTTGTTTAAAATCCCGAATTTTGAGCTATGCCAGTCATGTAGCAAATGAGCGATTTGTAGAAAGTTTTTGCAACATGCTCTATTTAAGTTGAAGGATTTGGAATGTATGTGGAAACTGATCTGTACAAACTTAAAAATAAAGTTTATATGAGGTTAAAACTATTGAAATCACTGGCGTAAATAATGTTGTGTTTATTAAAGAGGATACTGAAAGACTAAATTAATACCTTTCCCCTAACACTAACAGTTTGTAACATTTTTTCTAAATGCTTGTATGTGTGGTTGCGTGTATATTATGTTTGCATTTGAAATCCGCTTAATGTTTCCAGTACATCATGAGAGTGCAGTCTTTCTGCTCATATTATGCTCGTTACAGCGTTTGTTTTTTGTAATTCAATGAAAATGTCATTAACTCTCTGGCACAGCTCTTGTGTAAATATGTCTGCGGATTTTTCAATGATTTAATTGCAAATAAATTTAATTTTCTGAAATCTTGATTAAATTAAAATCACTGTTTTTTTCTTTCCCTCAAATAAAACTCTATTACAAAGTTTCCTGCCTGAAAAGATAAATTTGTTTCGTACTTGAGTAAAATTTTACTCCTACATGTGTAAGGATTTGGTTGTTAAAGACAAACATTTTGTTTACAGCATATACATACATACAATCAGAACTACATACTTCATGAGAGGGAGTGTATATTTTTGTACAAGTTTTGTATATATTTAGTTGTTTAGCTAATTTAGCGTAATTTTAGTTGTTTACTAGGGGAAATATCTGCTCTTTCTACATTTACTCCTACTTGTTCTCATCCTTGCACTGCTAACAAGTGTGATTCACTTAAAAGGCAATTAATTTTACAGCCACGTATTTTGCGGTCGTTTAGTCAAGTTAAATACATAATGACACAATAATGCCGTAAATAACGACAAACTTAAATCTTTGTACACCCATGCTTAGATAAATATCTATATTACTCAGCAGTTTTGGAAGATGTCTTAATGTATCCGTTTTAAACACTATTTTTTTCTAAGTTTTTAACTATTTATTTTCAGAAATGATGTCAGACTTCACTTTAATGCTATTAAGAAATTCTATTGCCTCTTAAGTATTTAAGCATATAAAGTAAATATCTAGTCATATAAATTTTTTAACAACAAGAACTATATTATAGCTATAACCTCTATTAAGAGCCGGACACTCCGAACTTCCGGGGCTGTACTTATTCATTTATGTATAAAAGAGTAGGAGTGACTTTGTGTGTATAAATATAATATATATTTTATACATATAAACATACATACATACATATGTATGTATGTAGATGGTATGTATGTACTAAACATACAATCTCATCGTGTCAACTTCTAATTATATAATAGTAACAAAGCTAAAAAACGACAAATTAGCAACAACGTGCTTAAGAATAACTCTTCAAAAATGCATGAGATTAAAATGAATTTTATTTCTCTATTCAGAGTACATTTTAGGTAACAGAACCTTGCGGTATTGGTTAAATAACTAAATTGTACTTTAGCACTAAAGATTCCAAAAAAATATGGATGTTTAGATATTCTTACAGATAAAGTGTTTTTTCTATTTTTTGTATCAACCTTTCCTGATTAATAGAAAATTTTTTTTACAAAATTCTATCCATCACTTTGGTAACATTATATAATAAATTTAATATGAAATTTTTTAATAGAAAAAGAAATATCCAGAGACCTAAGCCATCTATGATCCGAATGAGATGATATTTAAAGTATGACTACTCCTCACATACTGTTGAATTTAACATGGGGATGTCATTGCGATTGGCCGATTGACACCTTATGCATAACATGTTTCCATTATTTTCACTAGTTCAAATACTCCAACAAAAAAGAAAACAATAATTCTGAAAATGCGGTTGAACTTGGTGTCTATCATTTGTAGCTGCTTCTGATGTCTTGTTCATACAGAGCTCCAATTGTTGTTCTGAATAGCATGTAATTATTGTAACAATTTTTGCATTTTTTGCCTCAATAAATGAAATCGGACACTTTCTGCATTCTACATATTTCGTCAAAAATGTACCATGTGAATACTTTAAGCACTACATGTGGCTATCAAAGTGACATTTTTAAAACATTTAATTTTTCTGCTATTTATTCTCTATTGATTTCAATGTGAACTATTGATTTTGATAGTGAAATAAAGTGAACGTTTCGACAAAATATCGATCCCTTTATTTATGAGAGAACTAGTTAAGGGCCCTTTGCACTATCACATTTTACGTACGTAAAGTCGTATGATTTCACATTTTTTGTATATGTTTACATAAAAATACATCCCTGATCTAATGCGACCTGCTTGTTTTTTTAATCATTTCAAAAAATGAAGAGAGTCATACGACTGTCAAATTCTCCATCCGTATTTTCTTTCAATGTGTGTTGTTTTCATTACATATAGCGTTTAGACAATCCCATCCGTACTCTTCCACACAAAATTTTGACAGATCATATTACTTGTGTGCTCGTGTAAAGGGGGCTTTAGTTGGATATGCGGTAATATAGTTAGTGGAAGTTGCCAATTTGCACTTTTCGTAATCTATAAAAAGTATGTGTGTGTTATCTCTTTTGCTTCAAGATTTAAATTTATTTTAAATTTTTATTTTTTTTTTGGCAAGCCTATGCAGAATCGTAAAATTTTTAAAAAATATCCTTAGATTTTGTGATAAAATTCTAAAAAAAACTTCACAGCATTTATGTACCGCTAATATGTTCCTTAAATATATTCTTAGTCCTTTTAATAACACGCGGTAAATAAGATCACAGTGGGCACTTTTTTGGGGGGAAACTTGCACATTTTGAGGTATATTAAAAATTCTCAATGAGGATGTGAACTACTAGACCTAGAAACAAAATATTAAATACTGTTTTCGGGTGAACGTTGATTTTCAAAAATTCAAATAAAATAAGATATGAATGAATGAACTTCAAAAAAAAAAAAAAAAAAATAATTTTCCTAAAAACTTCACAATTTCAAATTTGTCTATATGACATTGAATGAGCCTTTCATTTTACATAAGAATTTCATATTATTCCTTTGCGTAAAATATGATAAAAATGGAAACCTCTAAGAAAGTGGCTTCTAACATTTAACCCAGCTCCAAAAATTAACCCCAGAACACAAATATGGTTAACAAATTTTTAATTAAAAATATGTAATTCTAAAATTCGTCGTTGATTGCAGATAGAAAAGTTCAAATTTATATATTAATTTTATTTAGTAGTAGTAAACATATCAGTTAAACACTTCTTCGTAAAAAACACATTTTGGAAAAAGTGGTCTTCACGCCCTTGTTCTCTTCCAGGCATCATATGTACGTGTGTATGTATGTTAGCATTACGTAATCATATCCATGTTAATATCATATCAAATTTCTAAAACAGAAATTATGATTTGTTGTTTTCAAATGATACTTACCGACATTCACGATCTTCTTTGCACGCTTCAGCCACAGCATGACATGATGGTGGTGGGGTATAGCTCTGTTGATTATTATTGTCGGGTGGTCTTTGTGCACAAACCGGATGTAGTTTTTCCTGAGCAATCATACAACTATCATGACGATTTGTTGTTTTTCTATGAACATGGAAAAATAGAGAAAAAACCAACAACAGTTAGATAGATAGTCGTCACAGGTATATTCACAAAGGATAATAAAAATTCAAAAATTATCATTTCTGCAAAAAGTGAAAAACCAAATGGTTTTAAAAAAAGCAGAACACAAAAAACAGCTTCAAAATACATCAGAGCAAAACAAACTAAACCAAAAAACCCACAAACAATTATCTAAAAAGAGTAGTAGTAGTTGATGCAGGGCAAAAGTTTGTTTATTCGTTTGTTTGATTTTTGGTTTTAGTTTTTTTCTATTTTAGTTTCAGTTGTTATTGTTTTTCTGTTCTGTTTCTTTTAACAACTCAATGCAGTTAAAGGTAAATCAAAACTATATATCTCTATATGACTATTTTTGTATGTTTCTATGTAGGTATATCATCAATCTGAGTGTGTTTTAGAAAGCTATTTATTCCAAAAATCATATAAAAGTTCTGTGTATGTATCTATGTATATATATGGTATCTACGTTATACTTACTTGCATAAACAAAAGGCCACATCTAAATTTAAGTCCTCATGTGGACCTTTATAAAATGCCTGCAATGAAGTCATGCATGCATTACGATTACAACGATGCATTTCACAGTGTTGTAGCATTGGTTGTAAGGACGATAAACAGGACGGATCTTCACGACATGTATCCAATGCTGTATGACAGGTACTCTAATGAGAGAAAAGACAACAATACAAAAAATTATAAATAACAATACAACCTTACAATAACCTGGACTAAATAAGGCAAGGCAGGAATATAAACAATAACACAAAGGACTTTCTAAATGAATGAGTTCAATCAGATAATAGTAGTTTGGGCATAAAGCCTTTCAAACATTTGGATCATCGTTAAAATATTGAAGTTTTTTTTTTACTATTTTTGGTATAGTGATGTTTGTATTATTTATGCAGTCATAAGTTACCAATTTTGATTTAAGTAATTATTTTTTTGTGAAGTTTAGGAAAGTAATATTTTGATTTTAGATTAAACAACTTACTTTTGTTTGAAATGGAAAATTAATAAAATTTTTTATTGCAGCCAATGTTGTAAACTAGTAAACCTAATCACAGCGCTCATTTACTAAAAGCGTAGCATAATTTTTGTTTTCTGAACTGTGTGTTACAAAGTATAGTCCGTTTTAAACTATTTAATATGGTTTTATATCTTTTCAAAAAGTATTTTATTTTGGGTGTTATTTAGGATAAATTTTAGTTCTAAACGGCAAAATTAAGTCATACATTTGACAAATAAAAATTTAGTTTAAATTTAGACTTGGTATATTTTGATCTGTACTGTAAACGTATATATGGTTTTATCAGGTCTGTCACACATTCCGATCGAAATGGTTTCAATTCCGTATTATTATTCCGATCATTTTTGTTTTAGCTTCTCCAAATTCCGAATTATTTCGTAAATTGACAAAAAATGAATAAAATTACATAGATTTCATTTAAAATTGTTCTTGTTTAGCTAATCAAAACAAGAACCATGTTTTTAGTAAAGGTTCTTATTATTAAAACTAAGAAAAGCGTTAATTACATACAAATATCAATTCCACTTCAAAAACTGAAAGTGGTTTCATTCCGAAAGAATTTTTCGTTTTCTTTTTTAGAAGAAGCAAAAATACGGAAATAATTCCACTTTCGATCGGAATGAAATTCTGTGACAGGCCTGTATATATGAAACACATTAGTTCAGATATGGAAAATGTCTTCAAACATTCAAAGTAGTTTTTCTCGAAACAACGTTTTTGAATTATGCCAGTCTTTTAGTAAAAGAGGTAACTAACTAACTACTAACTAACTAACTAACTAACTAACTAACTAACTAACTAACTAACTAACTAACTAACTAACTAACTAACTACTAACTAACTAACTAACTAACTAACTAACTAACTAACTAACTAACTACTAACTAACTAACTAACTAACTAACTAACTAACTAACTAACTAACTACTACTACTAACTAACTAACTACTAACTAACTAACTAACTAACTACTACTAACTAACTAACTAACTAACACTAACTAACTAACTAACTAACTAACTAACTAACTAACTAACTACTAACTAACTAACTAACTAACTACTAACTAACTAACTACTAACTAACTAACTAACTAACTAACTAACTAACTAACTAACTAACTAACTACTAACTAACTAACTAACTAACTAACTAACTAACTAACTAACTAACTACTAACTAACTAACTAACTAACTAACTAACTAACTAACTAACTAACTAACTACTAACTAACTAACTACTAACTACTAACTAACTAACTAACTACTAACTAACTAACTAACTAACTAACTAACTAACTAACTAACTAACTAACTAACTAACTAACTAACTAACTAACTAACTAACTAACTAACTAACTAACTAACTAACTAACTACTAACTACTAACTAACTAACTAACTAACTACTAACTAACTAACTAACTAACTAACTAACTAACTAACTAACTAACTAACTAACTAACTACTAACTAACTAACTACTAACTAACTAACTAACTAACTAACTACTAACTAACTAACTACTAACTAACTAACTAACTAACTAACTAACTAACTAACTAACTAACTAACTAACTAACTAACTAACTAACTAACTAACTAACTAACTAACTAACTAACTAACTAACTAAACTAACTAACTAACTAACTAACTAACTAACTAACTAACTACTAACTACTAACTAACTAACTAACTAACTAACTAACTAACTAACTAACTAACTAACTACTAACTAACTAACTAACTAACTAACTAACTAAACTAACTAACTAACTAACTAACTAACTAACTAACGAACTAACTAACTAACTACCTAACTAACTACTAACTAACTAACTAACTAACTAACTACTAACTAACTAACTAACTAACTAACTAACTAACTAACTAACTAACTAACTAACTAACTAACTAACTAACTAACTAACTAACTAACTAACTAACTACTAACTAACTAACTAACTAACTAACTAACTAACTAACTAACTAACTAACTAACTAACTAACTAACTAACTAACTAACTAACTAACTACTAACTAACTACTAACTAACTAACTACTAACTAACTAACTAACTAACTAACTAACTAACTAACTAACTAACTACTAACTAACTAACTAACTAACTAACTAACTAACTAACTAACTACTAACTAACTAACTAACTAACTAACTAACTACTAACTAACTAACTAACTAACTACTAACTAACTAACTAACTAACTAACTAACTAACTAACTAACTACTAACTACGAACTAACTAACTAACTAACTACTAACTACTAACTAACTAACTAACTAACTAAACTAACTAACTAACTAACTAACGAACTAACTACTAACTAACTAACTACTAACTAACTACTACTAACTAACTAACTAACTAACTAACTAACTAACTAACTAACTAACTAACTAACTAACTACTAACTAACTAACTAACTAACTAACTAACTACTACTACTACTAACTAACTAACTAACTAACTAACTAACTACTAACTACTAACTAACTAACTAACTAACTACTACTACTAACTAACTACTACTAACTAACTAACTAACTAACTAACTAACTAACTACTAACTAACTACTAACTACTAACTAACTAACTACTAACTAACTAACTAACTAACTACTAACTAACTAACTAACTACTAACTAACTAACTAACTAACTAACTACTAACTAACTAACTACTAACTAACTAACTACTAACTAACTAACTAACTAACAACTAACTAACTAACTACTAACTAACTAACTACCTAACTAACACTAACGAACAATTTCACAGTTTCTATATTTCGTCTTATAGGTATACGAAATGTTCTTAAATATTAAACAAAAATTCATTCCGTTTTATAACAAATTAAATTTTAAAGAATTAATACTTTTTAAATCTTACTACCATATACATATATGTATAGTGTACATACATAATACATATGTACATATTCAAAAGACATGTGTTGTAAACGAAACTATTTTCAAAATATTTGCTTAATTTATCTTAAATCTTCTACTCCAAATTTGTATCCATTATGTTTAGGCCTTCTTTCCTTACACACAAACAAAAGTTAAGAATCTGGTAAAACTGGGATTTTTTTGGTAAGGTACATTAAGGGTTTTACTTGTTCTAGCTGTTTACTTACCTGAAAGTGTTGCTTGATTATATCCGTTGAGGTGTTCTCTTCAACATCCGGACCACCTGAGTAATAGTTGCAAGATCCACAAACAAGCATTTTGTTGAAGTTCATAAGCATTAAGGGTTGACACAAAACCAAACAGCACAAATGATAATTTCGAAGAAAAAAAACGAAAAAATTCCAAGTTCCCCAAAAGTAGTTAGTGTTTAAAAAAAAAACACATACACAAGTCAGAGAAACATATATACATTGTTCGCAACCAACGATACAAGGTAGAAAAAGTTTTTCATTTATTGCATAGTTGTTGTATAATTGCATACATATTATCAACAACATCATTATCAACATGATGACGTTGTCATCATTATGTTTTGTAGCAAACCATACAATTTTTTGTTGTCCATACAAACAGACATAAAAGATGTATTAAGAAGAGTTTGGAGTAGTTTAAGTTTTGGTCCATTTACAGAAATGCAGTTTACATTTACCATTACATTATTCAGTTCCAAAGACAAGCAGTTAGATATACGTGTTCAAGTGCAGAATTTTTTGTATTAGTATTTTTGTTGTTGTTCCAAGTAGTTGAATAGATGATATTCATGTTTCATTTTTAGTTTTATGGCAAAATGAAAAAGTTTTGCCAATTTTTCCAGGTTTATTTTTTTTTTTTGTTTAATTTTACATATTTAAAGAATTTTTTTTAATGTTCATTTTTTTCAATTGTATTATTTTACATGTTGTAATTGCATGTAGATTTAGTTGCAGTAGTAGTTTTTTTTTTGCAAAATTTCCAATCCATTTTACATTGTCGTTGTTTTAGTTTTTTTTTTTTTCGTTTAAAAAAATATGAAAAAACACGTTTGTAATAGGAATAAATATTTTTTTTATATTTTCGTTTTTTGTTAGCAGATAAAAAGGAAAAAAATATGAAAAAAGAAAGAGAAGATAGAAAATATTTTTTAATTAATTTTTGTTGAGAATAAGTTTCAGCATTTTCAGTAATATGTTCTCATGAAAATGTAAATGAAATTGTAGATATAGTAGATATACTTTTAATAAATAGGTAATTATACAGACATACATAGAGCATTTATATAAATAGTAGTAGTAGTATTAATACAAGAATAGTTCTTTTATTTGAAAATCGTTGTATTATGTATTACCTTTTAGTTTTCAATAATCAACGTATCTATTGAATTTAAATGTACTAAAAATGTGAGAATTAAATATTACTCATACGCTTTGAAGCAGGATATTTAATTTGGCAATTGGTTAAATATACAAAAAAAATTACATTTCAACTGTTTTATTAATTCTTATTAAATTAAAATTTGGTAATTTATTTAATGTAATATATATGTAACAATGCTCCATAACTTTAAAATACATAAGATATCTTTTTTTTATTAAAATAAATGTTAGCTTTAGAAATATATATATTTTTTCATACTTTTTATTTGCGTATCACAATTTTTACAAAAGAACCAGTTGAAACATTACCAAAAAGTTAAATATCATGGTAAATTTAAATTAAAACTGAGTTTGTAAATTTAAAGGCAATCTAAATCTAATAAAATTAAAATTATCTTCAAGAGATAATAAAAGATCCGACATATCTTCTGAAAAGCAAATAAACATAGTTATGGAACTATAGTCGAAGGTAAAATTTGTATGAACTCTCATAAGAACGCCAAACAGATGTTGCAAAGGGTGGTTTCGGATTTTGTTTAAATGCTGTAATTTTATTACATTGTATATGTGTATGTACAAATGTACCAAATCATCGAATACATTTTACGATATTTTGAACTTTATAACTTGGTAGGATATTTTACATTATTACCGTCCGACACTAACCGGATGATATACGTCTGAAACTTTAATTTTAATGGAGGAAAACTGCGTTTTTATTTTTTTCAATTCGTAATCCTGTGTCCTTTTTAAAAGACTTCAAAACTTTAAAAAGTCTATTTTTCAAAAAAAAAAAAAAAAAAAACAAATACTTCTACAGCTCAAACAATGGCAAATTTGATGTTCAGTGAACAAGAAGATCTGTAAAATATTTTGTGATATTTTTATTTTATTCTGTCAGGATCAAAAGATGTAAAAAATGTCCTTCAAATTTTTTTTTTTTTAAATATTAGAGAAAACCTAAATAGATATTAAAGGATACAAATTTTAAAAGACATTTTTGACATCTTTTTACCCTGACAGTATAAAATAAATATAATACAAAATATTTCCCAACTCTTCTTGTTCGCTTGACATTGTTTGATCAATAGAAGTATTTACATTTTTTTTAAATTTACTTTTTTAAACTTTTTAAAAAAACGCAGTTTTTCTCCATTAAATTTATAGTTTCAGACCTATACCATCCGGTTCGTGTCTAACGAATTGATTTCTCTTTTTTCGGACGGTATAATAGATTCATCAATTGGCTGGTTTGTAAACTGTTTTAAAGAATTAGTATATGAGGAATTTCGTGTCTAGTGACCCAACTTTAAAAATCGATGTCTTCCGATTTGCACCAAAGTTAGTACTATGCGGTAGTAGGCCAGGCACAAATTTTCTGCTCTAACGGTCAAGAACTACCGGACTTAGAGGTGGTCAAAGTTGGACATTTTGGTCGTACAGGGTTTTATTCAAATGAGTGTAACTTTTCACCTATTGGTCCTAGCAAAAATTGTCCAAAGAAGTTTTTTATTAAAAAAAAAATATATTTTTTTTAAATGGGCCCTTTTTTTGCTTAAAAAGGCTTATACAATTTCCTTGAAGGACTTTATAGTCCCATAATGGGATGTGAGTGGGATATCTACCAAATAAGTTATTTTTTAACTCGAGACTACTTTTTTTCAATATATTGCGCTTAATTTTCCCCTATTTTTTCAAAATGGACGTTTTTGCTGTTTTCTTTTTTACTCAAAAGAAAGCTTAGACCATTTCCTTGAGCTTGATTTCCAAGAGCTTTGTGGTCACTTAGTGGGATGCAAAGCCTAGGTCCGGAAATTCTTGACCGATTGAGCTGAAAAATTGTTGTTGACCTACTATCCAATAGTACAAACCTTAATGCGAATTTTGTTAAAATCGATTTTTGAGTTGGGTCATTTGACATAAAATTCCCCATATACTTACATATGTACATAATGTACATGAGGGTGTCCGGTGGATCATTTTTTGTAAGATTACCTCTCAAACGATGAGCTTTATATATACTATTAATACGAGAAAAATACAAATTTTTTTTAAGGTCCTCAGCTCACTACTAGCGATTGAAAATCATGATTTCATTACCATATGGTCCACGGGACACCCTAATGTCCATACATATGTATACTAAAATGTACTCAAACTATTCGAAATCCAGTTATTAGAAATTGTCGACAATTCTTTAGATCTAGAGCGTATGATTAATATTTATTAGTAGCGTATTTTATAAATTCTTTAATACAACGATTTTCATTTTGTATTATTTAAATTAATATTTAAAAGTTAAGAAATTATACCTAAATTTTATTTTAAATAAAAACAACCCTTAAAAATGATTTTTTTATATTTCAAAACAAAACACACAAAAATAATAATAAACTGCACTTTTAGAGGGGAACTCAATAATTTTAGCACTATTTCAGTTCTTACAGATTGTAGGGTCTTAGCCAGGTTAACTAAAGGAATTTATCGCTTTATTTAAGACAAAAAAGGAAAAGAAAGAGAAATACTAACTAAATTTTTTATAAAAACGACTAGCACATTTATAATTCTGGTTATTTTTTATTTTTAATAAATAAAAACTTACACCTGTTAGAAGTAAGCTAATGTTTTGTTTATAAAATAATTACGAATCTTTAAGTTTCTGTATATAAATATATTATTATTTTAAGATATACATATTTGTGCAGAATTGTCTTTAATTTCTTTTTTTTTAGCTACAATTTTCATAAATACATATGAAAAGAAAAATATAAAAAAAATAATATTTTTTTTCAAAATTTCTACTGCAACTTAAATTGTAATTAAACTTAAAAAATAGAAGAAATTAGAAAAAATTAACTAAAAGCATAAAAATTATATTGAAAATGATATCACAGTTTTGATAGAAGCTTGAATTTTGAAACTAAAACATTTAGTTCTTTTGCTGATTTAGCATTTGAGATGATTGAGATTTAAAGCAACTTAAATAAACAATTAACAAAAATGAGTTAATTACAATTTAATGTATTTTTGATGTGGAGTTTGTTCTTTGGAATTGGTTCAATGATCAACAATTTGAAAACTGAGTTTTAAATTGACATTTTATGATGAAAATGTAAAATTTTGTGGCATTTGCTTCATTTTTGATTTGATTCGATTTTGGTTTTATTGGTTTTTGTAGGATGAACTAAATGAATGAACAATTTTATTTGTTGTTTTCGGTTTTAGTTGTAGGTATTTTGATGTTAATATTCATCAATGTTATTAATTGTTTAATGATTTTGGTGTAAGGTGTTGTAGTTTTGTTCTTTTTTTTTATTAAAAAAAGGGGGAAATTTATTAAAACATTTCTGTTAGATTTGTTGTTTTTTTTTTTTTTTTTGTTTGGTTTTAGTAAGAAATTGATTTACAAATAAATAAAATTGTATGTAAAATTTGTTTTGTATATTAGTTTTTAAATGTTTAAGTTTTTTTTAGTTTTTAATTTTTGTAACAAAAATTTCAGTGCTTTTGATTAAGAAAAGAAAACTTGAATTAGCGTGCTTTGAAAAAACTTTGTTATTTAACATTTTTTAAATATGTTTTTCAAAAATTGTTTAATACAATATAAAGAAAACGAAATTGATTATTTAAAATTGTAATTTTTGGAACTTTTTGTAATTTTATATTTTTTTTATTTTTTTAGAAAAAACTAAGCAAAAATTTATAAGAAAACTTATAAAAATAGCAAACTACTAGAAACGAAAAATAAAAATGAAAATTTAAATTAAATATGTAAAAGAATTTATTCAACAAAATTTATAATGTTATAAAAAACATTTAAACTCCTTTTATTAATTATTTTTGTTTAATAAAGTGGCTTTATTTTTCTTAC